GGTAAGCATACCCTGCTAGCACCCGTCAAGATGATACCAATAACTCCAGAAGCATGTAGTTATCTGGGCAAGTTGTTAAATAGTTTATAGTGAGTCATATCCAGGAATACGAATTTTTTAGGATTCTTTCTTTAGAAACAAGTGTGGGTTTACTTTTTTAGCTCAATGTTTTTTTGCTGTGATTTTTACTTTTTAGTATATCTGTTAGGTGTTCATCATCCGTTCTAAAGTTGCTTTTATTGTATTTAATATTTGTATTCATGATTTGTCGTTCCTACTTCTATGAATTACAATTGACAAACAAATGTTTTTCGTTTTCAATATAAGGTTATATATATATATTTGAAGGATATGAACACTATTCTGAACCTTGTCAGCTCTATGATTTGGATTTTCGATTGTGGTGAAATATTATCATATGCAAATTATGTTTCCTAACTAGGTTCGTAACTTGTTTTCATGGTTTGTGCCTTTATTGTCATCATGTGATGTTTCTGTGCTTTGGATTTTAAATAATTGTTCTAATATAGACATGTTACATATACTGTATATACATTTTTTTGTCATCCTTAGATTTATGTTTTTTCCAAATATTTCCCATATTCAAAGTTTCTAAAATGTCTGTTACCCAGTTGTTCTTTCCCTTTTTATTAAGATATATGTCTAGTTTCAGAGGCGGTGGCACGACATTTTGCATTAGGGGCGAGATCTGAAATCTTGACCCTCTGAAACGCTATTTTGCTGCATTTTGAGGGGCAAGTTTTGTTGATACAAAGGGTTTCAGCTTGATTTGGGGGGCCTTCTGTCCCCCGGCCCAGTGCCGCCGCCACTGTAACAGTAAGCTTCATGAACCAGCGTTAGAATTACTTGAACCAATATTCGATCATATATTTTAGGCTTGTTGCTAGGAGTGGATAACTCCCCAACTCTAGCAGGCATGCCAAATTACTTGCTTTGTTATTTACTTTCAGACGGTATTTGCAGAAATGTATTTGTACTTTTTTCATTGCATGGTTTAGACAGATTTGCCATACGATGCGATTTGTTGATGTTTTCGCTCGTCCAAATTTCACTGCAGTAAAGCATAATTGGCTTTGCAATTGCACCAAACATATTTATGTATGTATGTTTTGATTAAATTCGTTTTTTTCTGAGAATAACATTTTGAAACATGCCTTCATTACTCTTGCTTTGAGCTCCGGCGAAGTTTCCAGATTTGTGTGTTTAATTCCGAGGTTTGTGTAGGTTTTTGTATTTTCAAGTTTCTTTCATCAACATCAAATTTGAGTTTGTCCAGTGGTTTACAGAACATGCAATTTTTTGATTTAGAGATATTTCCATTTCTGAATTTATTGTTTAAGCCGATATGTGATTGGGACAACACTGCGAGGTCGTCTGCATATAGCAGAATGGGAGACTTTTGTTTAAGCGACATGGCGGGTCGAGGCAAGTCTAATGATGTTTTTAACTGATCGCTGGTTGTATGTTGCTTGTTGAATCAGACTCATGATCGGTAGGCCAACATTTAAATCCTACTTTAGGCTGAACACCAACAAGTGTAGACCCCCTACCCTGGGTGAGTGTGCCACAGACTCAATGGGAAGGCTAATACCACTGATCTAGATTCATTCACTAACGAATGCGACTTTGGGGGAACCTTGGTTAGGTTCTGCAGGTGTTTGTGTTCGACCGAGTATAGTTGACGCCAGAATAACGTATTAAATTGCCTTTTAATAGAGAGATGGCCGAACAGTCCTGACATGTAGTTCCAAACATAAATATGGCTTCTGTGGCAAAATGTGTCAGCGATAGTACTTGCAATTTGCACATTAAACGAGAAGTCAGGCAAAACAACAGTAACATTCAGTAACAATTCAACTGTAGCCTAGCACAAAAACAAAAGAAAAAACGTCTGATTTTATAATGCCATTTACATAGACGTTGAAAAAAGTGGACTGAGTCCATAACTTACCACATTGGGTAAGTTGCCAGAAGAGTCCGAGTTGCCAGATGGAATCAAAGGTTTTCTGGAAGTTTATTGCTTAGGTTTTTTGTGGTTTGAGGACAAATAAATTAGGTATGAATCCAATTGGTTTTCTAATAATTGTTTTCCTTTAGATGTTTCAAAAGCCGCTGCTCAAACTGGTGTAAAGTTTACAGTTATACTATTAAGAAGTATGATGCCTCTGTAATTGTTTGTTTTGTCACCTTTTTGAAAATAGGGGTGATCATTCCTAAATTCCAGAAACTTGGGATGTATCCACTCTGGCGAATTAAATCGCATAACTTGTGTAATGTTTTTATTAATGGTTCCTGTTGGCTT